AAATTTATTTTAGAATTAAACCTAGGGATTTATCTAGAATTGAAACTAGGGGTAAATTTACATGCTAAACTCGTCGCGCCTCTATAGCAGGAGCGGAAAATCAAAGTTAAAATAATCGAAAAGCGGTCCTGTTTGCTATCTATTTATACTTGCTTATCTATGCTTGGACCTTAGTTCCGATCACTTTCACATCATTATTATTTTTCTATCATGGGCAGCCACAAGAACACCATCTTCAAAAAACTTACAAATTTATGGACTGGGATACCAGGAAGGACTTTGGAAAGGTATTGAAGAAAACCTCGTATGCAATCTACCACTCAAAAATTAAGAGAAACTAAATTATGTCGTTAACAACTTTACCAAAGCCATAAAATATGTGGCAAAACTTAATTCAATTCGAATGCCAAAAAAGGGCAACGAGCAATATCCGCAAAGCATCAAACTTCTTATAGAACATAAGCGAAAAAATTAAAAAAAAAAAGGCAACTAACGCGTGTCTGGAGTAATAAAACTGAACTTAATAAAATAACTAGACATCTCAAAAATAAGCTCGAAGCCTATAGAAACAAAGCATTCCACAACTTTGTAACTAACTTATCAGTCACTGATCACTCGCTTTGGAAAGCTCTTCAGGAAACCCACCATCCATGTTGCTCCGATATGGAGAAACAAAAATTTCTGGGCTAGAAATAATATTGAAAAGGCCGATCTTTTTTCTTAGTACTTCGAAAAAGTATTTAGTCGACATTCATCAACTGTAAATCCATGTGAGGATGAATATATACACCGTTTTTCAAACAAGGATTTACCAAATGAGAATAGTATCAAGAAATTCAGTATAAAGGAAATCGAGCACCAAATTTGCGGAACAGCTTCTGGAAAATCTCCTGGGCTTGACAACGTCCCTATCACTCTCCTCATAAAGCACTTCCCTGTAAATTCAATCTTAAAAAAGTATTTCTTGCTGACATGTACCTGTTGTTAAAGTCATATTTAGCAATTTGCTAATAGCAAATAGACATTTTGCAAATTTCATTAAAAATGCCACTCCGGAATCCAGGGTACCTCAGGACAGTGTTCTTGGCCCAATTTTATACCCTGTTTTACAGCTGATTTTCCACAAATAGCTAAAACCGCCATCGCAACTTATGCAGGTGACATAGCTGCTCTGTCTCAACACCAAGACCCAGTACTAGCCACAACTCGCCTACAACCACATGGATTACTGATTAAACACTGGTACACTTTGGAGATTCAATGTTAACAGCTCGAAGTCAATTCACATCTAGCTAGAAATCACGAGAAGAAAATTGTACTGGTTGTTAAGCCAAAAATCTCAATTAAGTACATGGAATAAACTTCTTCTGTACAAAGTCATGTTAAAACCAATGTGGCCGTATCGAAGACAGCTCTGGATAACGACACGCAAACCCAACATCGCCATAATTGAGGATTTTAAAACCAAATTTAAATAGAAATTATAAACGCACCCAAGTATGTCCCACATTGGTTGTTTCATACAGATTTGATCATGAACAAATTTAAGGAACAAATTGAGAAATTCAGTCTGAGATATAAGAAAAGAATACTAAACCACCCAAATGTCATGGCCAAAAATTTAGTGAAGTACCATGGCATCGAACGGCTTAAAAGAAAATGACTCCTTTCTGAATTTTTTCACTAACATTTGAATACATATTATTCTATTATGCACTGATACTGATTTATAATACTACAATTACAACCGTAGGTACTGAATATTCTACTTAAATTTTTTGCATCAGTACCACTATTCATACTTCTATAAGCTATACATAATCAACATAGAAACGGATTACCACTGGGTGACCTTTCAACCTTTATTCCTAATATAATTAATCATCAAAATTACTGAATATTGTTTCCTATTTATAACAATAGATTGTAATTCATAAAAGCAAATAAAAAGAAACTAGTAGTGTATGGCATCGTGCCTTAAGGCAAATTGGTACAACTTCCCGTACCTTAATAAAATATTCGAGGAATATTAAAGGTTCTAAAACAATTTGTTATAAATAATGTAATTTTCATTAAGCTTAAATTATAAAAAGTAATTCAACAAAATTTAATCAAACGAATTAAAAATGAATAACATTGTCTAATATTTATAAGTAATTTATGAACTGAATTGCAAAGTTAAAATTATTTATTTGAAGTATATAAGTGTTGTTTAGAACTATAGCTAGAGTTACAATCTATATTCAAATTATTTTTTGATATGCAATTTTTTTTAATAAAATAAAATAAAGGAAATTTATTTCCTCAAATGCAATCGTTTCGTCAATACAATCAGAAAGCTATTTAAATCATTCAAGTTGGATGCTTAATTCTCTCAAAAACTGCCATTTCTGCACATTTAGTTCTATATCTCCGAAACGGCTAGACCTGCCTTGGCCAAACCCCCCCTTCTCTCCATGATTCGAAATCGAATGCTTTTTGGATCATTCAAATCGGTTGATCCGTTCTCTAAATAACTGCCATTTTTAGCACTTTTTGCTCCATATCTCTGAAGCTGGTGGATATGTTTTCGTCAAAAACTAATTAGCACGTCTCCTTATCAATAGGAATCGAATATTTTTTGAACCATTAAAATTGGATAATCCGTACGCTCGAAATCATCAAAGAATACACACATACACACACATCAAAATATCGAAATATGCCAAACCTCTGAAACGTGAAGATATGCAAAAATTTTCATTTACGATTTTTGGTTCATTACTATAACTTACCCTACGGGAAGTCAAGAATTCAAATAGAATGCTTAGTTCTCTCAAAAACTGCTATTTTTTGCACATTTCTCCGAAACGGGTGGACATGCCTTTGCCAAAAATCAATTAGAACATCTCCCTATCAATAGGAATTGAATGCTTTTGAATAATTCATATCAGTTGACCTTGCGCCGAAAACGTAGACGAAAAATTTCGGACACATGAAAAGAAACACTCACACACATCCATTTTTTTTAAGGTATGCCAAAATGTTCAGAAACGGCTGGACCTGCCCTTGCCAAAAACTAATCAGCAAATCTCCCTATCAATGGGAATTGAATGTTTTTTAAATCATTCAATTTGTTGATCCGTGCGCCCTAGAACGCCCATTTTGTCCACACACACATCCATTTTTTTTCTAAGGTATGCCTGAATGTTCAGAAACCTTTTCGAAATTACAGAGAACAAAGTAAAAAAAAGATATTTGGCGGTCAAAAATGATCATTAGATATATGTTCATCAAATTATCATATATTTTATAAAGATTTTAAAATGAGTAAAAATGAGTAATTCAACAAATATCAAAATTTTCAGAAATATACAGAGTTTTATACTTGCATATATTTTATATGCGTTGTTCTAATCGTAAGCAATAATCCTCGGATGGATGCCTCATTTGGCATGTTAATGTAAACATTCTGTTTTATGCGATATCGTCGCTATGAGCGATAAAGTATTTAAAACAATTGTTATTTATGATTTTTTTCTTCGAGTATTTAATACAGGTATTGAAAGTTCCAGCAATTTCCCTTAAGGCACTAGTTTAAAGGATCGCGCAGCGCTAACTACGTAGAGACGTAATATCGAAGAGCGTAAGCGCTGCGTCGCAGTCTAACGGATAAATTAGAAATTCCACCTTTGTTTGATATGTTTGATACGTGATGTGGCTGATTTGATTTTCGCAGGTCATTTACACAAAGTTGAATTGGACTTTTGATTCTTTGAATAAATAGTAGTACGGAACTCATAGAATTGTAAACAAAAGTTTTTATCATTAAAATCCCTATAAAATATCTGATAATTTTATATTCATATGTCTAATTATTATTTGTGACCGCCAAATAGCATTTTTTGTTACTTTATTCATTGCATCGCTGAAACCGCTAGACCTGTCTTTCCCAAAATTCTTTGTTCGTTCGTTATTCATTTCGTTAATACAAATAACATGTTTTTTTGAATTATTCAAATTGGACGCTCCGTTCTCTTAAAAACTGATTTACTGTTTTTGCCATATTTTGACCCGTATGTTCTAAAGGGCTGGACCTCCCAGACAAATGCTCAAATTACTATTAAATTTACTTTACTCCCAACTAACAATAAAAAAAAATGCCACAACGGCACCCAAGCTTCCCTATACTCTGTAACCACATAGTAAAAATTAAAATTCTTGATTATTATTTTATGACAATTGCATATTTTTAAGTTAAAATTATTGTTTGTATTTATTTACCAAGAATTATATATTTGCATTTTATGCTCCGCCATAACACTAACAAAAATAAGTTTTTTTTTTTAAATCTGAGAAACCAGTAAATCCATTTTGCTAAACAATGAAATATTATGTTCTATAGGACTGCGTTTTACAAAACCGTTTTTCAATTATATAAAAAGCTTTTTGAGATAATTCTATAAGTATAGTGAATTCTTATTTATGAAAATCAAAATATGTTACTAATAAAATGGATTCAGTTAAATTCTGCCACGAGCTGAAAAGTGAAGGCAAAATGTCCACTGAATATATAGCTTATTAGCATATTCATACTTCTAAGTTCATTGTTAATTGGAGTAGTGGACTAACGATCTACAAAAACCAATTTACACGCAACCTACTCGAATTATTTCGCTATATTTTTATGACAGGTAACTTTATAAAAAGCTGAACTTTAAGCTGTACATGTGATTTAGTGTGTGTGCGTGAATATCTTTAGAAACGTCGGTCGCGCACGCGTGCTTGTTATATGGATTTTAATATGCAATTCGTGATCCTTTGCTTCATATTCAAGAAATAACCTGTGCCTGTATAACATCAGGCTATTTGTATTGGGATAAGACGTTGAATAGTTTGCAAATGCTTCAAAATATAATGTGTCATAATATTTAAAGTGCAACGAAACTTGTCACGTGTGTTTTTGATTATAACATAGAAACGGGATTTTTGAAAGTTTACTAAATTTGAAACAGCAGATAATGGGACTTTGTTTGAGCTGGGTTGCCATGTTCATGGCAGTATGGCTAGTCATGTTTGGAGAAACATCAACGGCTTTGACAACGTTTGGAAAGACTAATCCCAACACTCAAAATCAACCGCCACCACCGCCTCCGCCAGGTAATAGACATTACGTAATGCTCTGATAGTTGATTTTTCCATTTTTCCTGTTATCAAAGACAGTTAGTAATTTGTTTTAATTTAATTATGGCGTATTTATGAAAACGCATCATTAAGCAGGTTAAATTAGTTTTCAACCTAATTGTGAAAGTAGTAGATCCAATATTTTTCAAGAAATAGGCAGGCATTTATTAGCAGTTCGAAAAAATCAGTAATTGAATCATTGACCTAAATACAAATATATATATATATATATATATATATTAACAAAGTCTAGTAATCGGGCATAACATCAATTTTTTTCAAAAATTTATTTAAAATCCATACGTTTCGGGTATCTTAGCCTTCATTCAGTGGAAACTAAAAATAAAATTAAAAACTAAAACAATTGAATTGGAGTGAAAATAAAAAATAAAAAGAGTAAATAGTAGTTACAATTAGTTAAGCTTAGTGTTAAATTGGAAGATTTTAATAATCCATGATAATCATGATATTGTAATGCACTTCACTATATATTATAAACATTAAACTTGTAATTAACAATATTTTCACAAAGTACAACATTAAAAAATCACAAATAGATAGAGTGTTGTTCGTAGACTGGTTGAAGATATAATGGAGAAATGACTTTTTTAAAAATATTTTTACCAAGATTCTACACATGTGTGGAACGAATTGCGAATCCTTCGCGCGACTTTTTTATTGTTTAGTGAGAAATTTGGAAATACTATCTAAATAAAAGAGATTTGTGTCGCACAGCGGGTTAAGTTAATTCCGTTTATTAATTGTTTTATTGTTATATTTCATTCTATAATTCTTAGTTTGAATAAATTTTGTTCGAATTGTAGTTCAGTCGGGTTAGAAAAGTCCATATTGTGTTTTAAAGTATAAATATGCCACGCAAGCATAGTTTTAAATTGTCTCGGATTTTTTTAATTGTTTTTATGTTGTTATAAATGTTTAATTAAGTTCTGGCTTGTTTTTCCTATGTAAATTAAATTACAATTTAGAAAATTTATTTGATAGACGAGATTTCTAAGTCGTTCGATATTAAAAGGAGTTTTTGTTTTGGTAAAAATAGTACTAGTCGTTGTACTAAAATTGTTTACAAGTCGGAGTCCCGATTTATAAAAAAGTTTTTTCCAAAAAACATACAATTCTTGAATGTATGGTAAACATATTACACCAGAGTGAGTTTCTGAGTCAGGTAAATCGTTATGTACTGTGGAATTGTCAATTTTATTCAAAAGGTACATTTGTCTGTTACTAGTTGCGGAGTTTATAAGTTTTAAGGGATAGTTGCTTAACTACAAAAACTTAAAATGATTGTTATGACAAACCTATTAACTCTATCATATATAAGATAAGGTTGCTCAAGTCGTACCGCCAACTAAATCGTATTCCAGCAAAATTTTGCCTGATAATTAAAATTTACACCTATTGCTACTTCCAAGAAGATCTATTTAGTTGACTAAGCGAGTGTTTAAATGAATGACAATCCGACATTGTGAAACAGAAATAATCAAAAAGTAAAAATGCAAAAATAACTGTTTTAATCAAATAAATCAGTTAATGTTAATCAAAAGCTAATTAAATATAGATTCAATAATCGCCGAAGATTTTCTTCTGATTTAAATGCACTTAATATTATAGCCACGCTTCTTTTGTCGGTACGACTTGAGCAACCTTACCCTATATATATATATATATATATATATATATATATATATATATATATATACAGAAACAACAAATTTAATGCTGGTTTTACATTCGCTAGGAATTTGATAGGATATTAACAGAAATAGAAATAAAGTTGCAGGATATTGACATGAAAGCGTTAAGAACAATAAGTAAGAGTAATAAAACAGTAAGAGTAAACAGAAAAATCTTTAATTTATCATTATTCAACAATATAAGTTTTATATTTAAACTATTTAAATAACATATGAATAATAAAAGAAATTATTAACTTCCCGTAGGGTGAGTTATTATAATAGTCCAAAAATCAAAACTAATTTTTTTACATTTCTTCACGTTTTGAATGATTCAAAAAACATTCAATTCGATACAGACCTAAACGTACAAAAAATTGCAGTTTTTGAGAAAGCTAAGCATACGATTTGAATGATTCAAAAAACTTTCTGTTTGTGTTGGCAAAACAATTGCTTTTACCAATTAATTTTTTTTTAAATTTTTTTTTGTATATCGATAATAATTCAAATTTTAATTTTAAATCTTGCTAAAGTTCTAACGCACACTTATATACTTTAAATAAATAATTTCAACTTTGCAATTCAGTGTATATAATTCTTATAAATTTTAGACAATTTTACAGTACTTATAATAATCTATTCGAAAACATTTAATATTTCTTGAACATTTCGTTACGATACGAAAAGTTCCAGCAATTTGCTTTAAGGCACGATGCTCATACGCCACTAGTTTACTTTTTTGATTCGATCTTTGATGCAAATAAATGTTTTTTTTAGTAATTCGAATCGGACGCTCCGTTTTCTCAAAGACTGAATAACAGTTTTAGCACTTTTTGCCCATCGTCTGCCTTTGTGATGTATTTATTGTCATATCATAAGATGCACGTGTTGAAAAATGAAGTCTTTTGAAAAGTATAACAAGTTCAGAAAGAATTAATATATAGCATTCGCGGTAAGGTACAATATCACCTTGGATTTTTCTACCCAAAACAATTGCTTCAATAATATTCCAATATTTTTTATAATTTCGTACCTTATTTTAACTAACTTTCAGAAATTTTAATATCTATAATTATATTTTTTACTAATTCAATATACATCATTACTTAAGTTTATACTTGCAATTAATAAACCTACGATCAATAAAATTATTGCAGTAAATGGGGAGGAAAAAATGTGAATTGTTTTTAATGTGCTTCAATTTCCTTGATATTTTCAAAACAGGCTAATCTTAATCTTAAGTTCAGAAGTCAAAACTCACGTCACCACCCGCCGCATTAATTGGATTATAACTCTTCTAATTCTCATTTTGTCAAAACTTGTAATATACTATTTTAAAGGTAATTCAACGAGCTACAACTTTTTCCATCATAAATTTTATCGTAACTTCTCTTATTTTGAAACGGCGAAGGGTTAAAGGGCTTGAAAGACACTCTGGTTGGACAGCCGTCCACTCCTTAAACAATCATAACTCTATCAATATTTGTGTAACAGAAAAATAATAAAAAGCAATAATTTATCAGAAAATGACTTTGAATTTTCATCTATGTACCTTTATACGTATCTTTTATTCTTTCAGAGATATAATAATGAGAAAGATTTTTTCATGAAATCGTGAGTTTTTTAAAAATCGTTTGTAGTATCTTGTTGAATTTATCAAGATCTCTTAAACCAAGTTAATTCTAGATGGGATTTTTAATTTTGGTGGAAATGGCACTCATAAAGTTGAAAAATCGATTTAAATGAGAAAAACATTATATGCGTCTTTTATTTGCGTGATATCTCACTCATTTTACACTCAGAAATACTCATTTTAAAGCTTATTTTGAGCACTATAAAACCCCATTTTCATATCTAGCCTAATATTGTTCCTAGAACACTTTATAAAACACCGATTTATTAAGATTATAGATGATATAATTTTGTTTATTACATGATTTTTGTTAAAAGGTATATTTTTGAAGATATAGCAAAAAACGATGAAAAGCGTCAAAAGAAACGAATTTTTAGTAGCCAGTAACTTGAAATGTATTTGCTTTTTTAAAAAACATTATTAAACATTTTTCTCTTATAATTAGTTCTTTTATTGATATCCGACGTTATTTAAAAAAAAGTAAAATTGAACCACGAGAAGAAACGTCATCCACCCGAAAAGTGGCAAAGGAGTCTAAATTATTTTCATTTATACTTATTGTTAAAATCTCTATAAAATATCTGATAATTTGATGTGCATATGTTTAATGATCATTTTTGACCGCCAAATAGCATTTTTTTTACTTTTTTCGTTAGATCTCCGAAACCACTGAAACCTGCCTTTATGAAAATTTGATCAATTCTTCATCTTGTCAATACAAGTAAAATGTTGTTTGAATTATTAAAATCGGACGTTCCGTTCTCTTAAAAACTAATTTACCGTTTTCGGCACTTTTTGCCCCGTATCTTCGGAACGGCTAGACCTGCCTTTGCCAAAAATAATCAGCATGTCTCCTTATCAATACGAATCGAATATTTTTTGAATTATTCAAATCGGTTGATCCGTGTTCCGGAAATCGTCGACGAAAATTTGTATTCGAACACACATACATACACGCACATACACACACACACACATACATTCATTTTTTCTAAAGTATGCCAAAATATTCAGAAACCTTTGAAACGTCGAGAAAAAATTTTCATTTTCGATTTTTTTGCGATTACTATAACTTGCCCTACGGGAAGTTAACGATGCCTCAAATATTTTCAAAGTCAAACAATAAATCGAATAATCGTTTAGGAGGCTTAACCTTTCATACCTCATTACAAAAGAATCTTATATATAAGTTTACAGAAGAATTTTATAAGATACACATATATCCATTTTTTCTAAGATATGCCAAAATGTTCAGAAATCTTTGAAACGTAAAGATGCATAAAAATTTTCATTTTTGATTTTTTGCGATTTCTATATACTAACCATACTGGAAGCTAAAAAAATTATTTGTTGTTAAACTAAAGTATGTATAAATGGGATTTATTTTTAATCAGATAATTACACAAATTGAAATAGACAAAAATTACACAAGGTAAAATAAACAAAATCTTCGGCAAAAATAGTTCGTTCTCCAAAGATATTATATAATTTTCCCGAACAAGTTTCTTTTTCCAAATCATTTGATTGGCTAATTTTATGATTTCTCGACCGTTCAAGTCATTTTTTGTCAAAAATTCAAGTAAAATTTTAACTTTACATGTTATTGGGATATCGGTGATGAGCCTTCATGGGACCCTTAAATTAAAATTTAT